GGGGGGGGTAGGTAACACGACGCCTCGGACAACGTCGGGGTGGAAGCGCGCACGTGATGCCTACCTGCCTCCGACCCACGCACGGCAGCACCCACAGAACGATTCACATGTGCTACACGGCAGTGGTGACTGCACTGATTGATGTGCGTGCAGAACTGCACCGCACGCGTTTGGGCCGCGAGGCACCAGGAGGTGGTGATCGAAAGCAGAACCCACAGGATGAAGCGGCAAACAGCGCGCCGTAGAGCACACGCACTCACTCACACACATTCACACGCTGCCCCCTCACGGGGTCCCAGTTCATGGCAGATAGAAGTGTTTTGTGTTTTCAACCGCACTGAGACTGACGTCTTTTCATTGGTCAGCCGGTTAGCGCGGTCGATGCTAATAATAAATACACACACACACACACACGAGCAGCAAGCGGGTGGTGATGGTGGGAAGACGGCTCTCTCCCCCTCTCCCAACGTAACCCGCTGACGCCAAGCACTCCCAAGAAAAAAAAGGAGACTCCAATCACCATAAACACCCACCCGTAAATTACACAATAAATACCTCTAGAGTCAAGCACCAGGCGGTGACGATGGCCGGCAGCTCCCCCAAAGCCACGAAAGCGTAGGCATAGGTGCCTCCCTCCGACGGGATAATCGACGACAGCTCGGCGTACGACAGGCCGCTGAAAACGCACCCTATCCCTGCCAACACCCAGCTTACTACTGCCGCCGGCCCCGCATCTGTATTTCACGCACATACACAAAACACGGCATGAACACGCGTGAACACAACACACGTCAGCACCCAAGAAAAGGTGTACTACCGGTGCCGTGTAAACGGGTCGCGGGGGTCGAGGAGCATCCATGCCCACAAGCGGGGTTTCGTCCAGCCACCGTTTCATCGTTTGATTCTTTGGCATCCGATTGGGCGTGGAGTAATCGAGCTTTGAAAATCAGTCCAGGGGGTGGTATCTTACATCACGTACGGTGCAATGGTGGCGACCAAACACTCCAGTGACCGAAACTCCCCCCCCCATACCCCACTTGGTGATGTGAGAGCCTGGTCCGGTGAGAACCTGGCGTGCTCCGTCCCGGCGTTGTATTGTATTTGTAGGGAACCGAGGCCAATGGTATAACGACTACGGCATGCACGGCTATGAGGACACCCCCCCCCGCCGGCTCCTAAATATCAAACTAAACCCATCTGGCGGGCACCCCTACCGTGAGTTTCACACGCCCTATAAGCTACAAACACAAACAGTCTCGAACACCAAGATTGGTTGTATGTATGCACACATATTAGTACTAAAGCAATCGATTTTGCTGCTACAGCGGTACAGCTGTATGCTCACATGTGCTCCCGATGAGGCCGACTATGGCGAAGATCCCGCTGCCGACCGTTCCGGCTACCCCGATAACGACAAGGTCGAACAGCGTGAGGTGGCGGACCAGAGGGTCGTTGCTCGCTTCCATCAGCACCACGGCTAGAGGCCTGCCAAACAGGAAACACATCCAAGGTTAACAAGACGCCATTGGAAAGGGTGGCCGTCGTGATCCCTGATCGGAAGGAACAGAACGTACGAAGAGGCCTGCCAGAGGAAAACAGTTGTTGTTGTGTTCACATTAAAAACCGTTCCGTTCTCTCTGCCCAGTACCTTCTGTCCGTACTACAGTACCATACACTCTAACACTTGAACACTGGAGGCTAATAAGACGTCGTTTGAAGAGGGGGACAGTGGCCGTCATGGACTCTTATATCCGAAGACACAGAACATGTGTGTGCCATATTGCAGAAGGAAACGGAAGGTCGGCGAGCACGCAAGCAGCACCAAGGTTCTATTGTAGGTTTAATGGTGTATGGGTGTGATGTTGCTGCCGCCCTGATATTTAACTGCTCATCCTGTTCATCCTCAATATTTAACTTGTATCTCAATGTGTCGTTGGGATGGTTATCTTAACGGGAGAGAGGTGCTGACGTGTGGCTGTCTGCACACTGAAACACAGACCTCTTGCAGTATGTCCTACAACAGATCTGTTCTAAGAGGAAACGGCCATGCCTGTTCACACAGAGGCCAAGAGCAACAGGAGAAAATCGTCGTGGTTGTTGTCGATCGATTTCACGTGAAAACACGTTTCGATCTCTGCCAAAAAAAAAATGCGTAAGGCCCCACACAGCAGTCGACGCCGCCGCAAGTAAAAAGTTGGAAACAGGAGCCAGATACCAGACAAGAGCCCATCATCCAAAAAAAAAAAAAAAGCTTCGACCTTACTCCCCGGTATTATCATGGAGGATGGGACATTGCAAGATACACACATATCTTGAAGTGTAGTAGCGAATTAACATAGAAAAGAACATAGAACGGCTCTCAGAATAGGGCGGCACATAATACCACGCACACCACCAACTAATCACGCCGTGGTGAAGTATAAGAAGCCTTCCAAGTAGACTATGTGCCAATGGTGATGTGTTTCATCTCGTGTCGGTAAATCGTACGGCTGTACGCCCGTCTACTGCCGTACTGCAGCAGGATATGTATATACGTGTCATATCAGCATTGCTTGGATAATGTACGGAAGGATATTAGATGGATGAACACTATTATACATACCTCCAGATAGTTCATCTGCATTGGTTGGATGGTGTACAGCAGGATACCTGTAGATCATACGTACGTGTCTTATCAGCATTGCTTGGATAATGTACAGCAGGAAATGTAGAACGCACGCAAGTATGATATTATAGTACAGCCGTAGTGTCTTGTCATGCGTCGCTTTTTTGCGTACAGCAGCCATGCACCGCCACGAAACCAGGTATCTACGCATACAACTGCTTGTTGTGCATCTCGAAATCTTGGGTTACATGTAGGGAGTCGGGAGAATGGTGTGGGTGTTCCCAGGGTGCGGGGTGTGCAATTGCAGCTATGGTATGCACAAAGGGTTCTTGCCGGCCACCCGCCAAAATGCCGAGGGAGAGAGAGAGGGATGCTGCCCTCAGGGGAGATGGTGTGAAAGGGTCAAGAGATATTTTTCTCTTCGTGCCAGAGGTCACGATAGAAATATCTCTTATATCTCGTTGGAGTGTATGCCACTCTGCGCGTGGGCCTAGGTCATCGTAGCCACATTCATTAACGAACCTCTCCTACAGCAGGTGTCAAGTGAACATTGAATATTCCATCCCTTGCGACCCACGCATACCTCGACAGCAACTGCTGTACATACAGCAGCAAATTTCAAATTTCGAACCATTGTGCGACCGGGGTCGGATGATCGAACCCACAAACAAATGGCGGCGCGGTTGGGATCGAGGTCCTACGCCAATGTGGCGAGGACTGTGGTAGTCTGGTGCGGGCGATGTGTGTGTGCCGTAGGGTGTGTGTGCCGTAGGATACATGTGAGCGTGCGCCGTGTCTGCGGCAGGCCACGGGCATTGAGGTTCACCTGTGGCTAGTTAGGATGGATGCTACATTTAGACGCCAACACAGCAGTAGCACCTGCAGCGCAGCAACCATACGACCTGACAAACGAAGGAGCTCATGTCGTCGAGTCCAGGTTGGATTTTTTGTGCTGATACCCAGAGAGATTCGCGAAGGATGCGTATAGATCATGCATTATTTCCTTCCGCTGGCTAGTGCAAAGCTCTGGTCTGCTGCTCGCCGTGCATGGCTGCTGTCCAGTGGGCCAGTCGGTTGCTCCTCAACAGCAGCTGAACCGCAAGTCCTCGACGCACCTCGTTTTGCGGGTCCTGTACTGCTGTCGTGGGGGGAATCAAAATCTCGCCTGGCTTTTCTGCCAAGAAGGGCGCACCCAAGCAAGAATACTCCTGGCTCGCTGGATGTGATCGCACACCCCAACCCCCCCCGCAGCTATTAGCCTGCATGCATATCTACATGTGCCCACGGGGTTATCGCCGCTGTTCTCCAGCACAAGAAAAAAACAGGGTCTCTCTGCTGGCACACTCACTTGCGAATCAAGGCGGGGACACCTGGGAGACCTGGCAGTCGACGACTAGGCGTCCTCGTGTTCTGCGAGAGCGTGTTGTAGCGGCCATTCGTCATGGCACGTGAGCTCGAACCCCCTACAAAACAAGGGTGTGCTCGTTTGCGGGCGGCTAGGCGGCTAGTAGGCTGTGGGTCGGGTCTCTCCAACCGGAACGAAAGGCTTGTGGAAACCCAAGCTTCATGGAGGCGTTTTTGTTCTGGGGCTGGCGCCCCCCCCCCCTCTACACACGCACCCGGAGCGCGCGAGAGCAGCAGCTCGGCGGGTCAAACTTGTTGGACCCTTTGGTGAAGATCGAACAGTGTGAGTGGCTTGGATTGTTGCTGGCGGGGATGATCTATTGGCGGATTCAGTGGTCTAGGCAACAAGTCCATCTCGCTCCAATTTTCGGTCGAGAGGGAGGAGCAGCGGCAAAGATCAGGAATCGGGAGCGTGTCTGCACTGACTGTCTGTGGACCAGTAGAGGCCAGGGAGGGGGTATCTGAGAGTCGTATTGGCGCAAGTGCATTGGCTTCGCAATCTTGAAATTACTCATAGCAATGAACGGCACTCAAGTTCTGATGTCGGTGGCCGTGTTTTTGGCTCTCTGAACCTGGTACAATATGTGGCAGCTTCAAATGTCCTTACTAAGCAGTGCCTGCTGCGGTAGGCGAAAGGATCTCCCCCTCTTATACCTACCATGACTTGACTATGTCGCTGATTGTGCGGGGCGTTCGTGTGGCCACCCGTCCAATGATGAAGTGTGAATGTAAAAACTCGTCTCTCTGCCGGTTCGCGCCGAAATGGACCTCCCTCTCTACTCTACTAGGAAAGTCGAACTACACTGCTGTACTTCATTTCAGCGACCTCTCGCCGCGGACTCACTTTTTTTTCAACCATGATTATATCTCTACAGGGAGCCCCGGATCATCACAAAAGGCGTTTGGAGAACGACCTGTCCCCAATGCTCGGCGGCGAACAAGCGCAGCAGCTATAAAAGCAATATCAAAAACAAAAAACGTGAAGAACGAAGCACGCCCCGTGTCCTGCCGACGACACCACACCACCACGCGGTGTTTACTTGAAATATCTCCTCCAGCAACGGTCACGCGCGCGCGCAGCGGTGCGGTGCTTTTCGTTCGCACAGACGTGTGGGCTTGGCCGGAGAGGGTGCGCCAACAAGGGGGGGGGGGGGGGGGGCCCCAATCCCCCCTTTGGGAAAAATTTTTTTAAAGGGGGGCAAATGGAATGGGAATATAACCGGGGGCATCCTTTTTAAAAAAAAACAAAAAGGAGGGTATTCAATGGGGCAAAAACAA